TTTATTGACCCATCCCTTTTAACATGCATTTTGATTTTCACCCGCTCTTTCGCATAACTTTCGCGGAACTTTCGCGAAAATATCCCTATTCATAAACCCTGGCCATCAGCAGGGGGTGCACTGAAGGAAAAGCGAAGACCAGCTGCCTTGGTGTTTGTTTTTGCAAAACCTCACTTTGGAAATTTGGCTACTGCTACTCGCATTCTCTGGTGTCCTTCTCCTGCCGGAGCCCGGGCGGCAGCGGGTGGCAACCCTTTATATATAATGATTACCAGTAGTACCGCACAAGGCGGTGACGGAAATTTCAAAAATAGGAAACCTATAGAAGAGGTTGGTTATTGGGAATTAGGGATGGCAGAGCGAAACCATTGATAAATTGAAAGGTGTTTGATCTCTTTTATTTTTTCTATTTTTTTCTCTGATTATCTACCTATCTAATACCGTCAACTACATGGCGGGGACCTTGGATATTACACTATAAACCCTAAAAACGGGGTCTGAAGAAAAATTACATAATTATATTACGTAAAAATAATTTCAATGGTATAGACCCTTGGGCCTTACAAATATTAAAGGTCTGAAGACATTTACCCATGTATCAAATATATTAAAACAATATTCCAAATAACATGTTTTCTCTCACTCATTTTTTTCTTCGTTGTTATTACACATTTTTCATCAATACTCTTTGGCAGTCTCCCGAGCATTCAAAAAAAATTGTGGATTCGCAAAATGGGTTCGGCTCTTGCCATGAACATCCACATTTCAGGAATCGTATAAAATCAAGAAAAATATGAAAATTTCAGATTTTAATTAAATTTAAATTTAAATTAAATATAATAATATTTTTTAAAAAAAAATGAAAATTTCAGATTTTCAGGAAAAAACGAAAAAATCGGAAAATTTCTGAAAATTTCAGATTTTCAGAAAAAATCTGAAAAATTCAAAAAAAATCTGAAAATTTCAGTTTTTTAACAAAAATCCGAAAAAAAACATAAACAATCGGAAAATTTCAGATTTTTCAGAAAAAATATGAAAAAAAAATGAAAATTTCAGATTTTCAGAAAAAAAATGAAAAATTCAGAAAAAATCTGAAAATTTTAAATTTTCAGAAAAAAATCTGAAAAATTCGGAAAAAAATCTGAAAAAATCATAAAAAAATTGAAAATTTCAGATTTTCAGAAAAAAATAAAATTTCAGAAAAAATCTAAAAATTTCAGATTTTCAAA